GTCGCCATCGGATACACACAAAGTGCACTGTGCATCGATGGAACAGATTTATCCACACCCGTTCCCTCAACGAATACCGCATACAATATATCATCTTCAACACTGAAATGTAAATATTTACTTCATTTCACGTCTCAACAACCGAATTCATCCCAGAATTCACAATCAATTTCAAACTCCTTTGATGCTAATTAAAACTTGAGAATTTCAATTTCAGTTCCATACTAAGCTCATCGTTAAAGTTCCTCCATAACAAGCACACTGGAAAGCAGATTCGAAAGAAATCAAATACGAGTCGCAAAGTGAATATTTGTTAGGTTTCACTGAAGAGTGCGAGAAATATTCCAAAAATATGAGTTCGAAATTCCAGTAGATGATAGGAATGAATAAGTAGTGAGATAACCTGATGCCGAGTGACGAGGCAAGATCGTAGCCGGGCTTTGACAAATAGACATCCGTGAGCAGATTGTAGGTGACATTCGTTTGACTACACTCCAACGGAACTTCGGTATAACTCCAAAAATGTGCATCTGACGTACAGACTCGAACCAGTTTCGAGATTATCGGGAACGTATTCCCACCGGGTATGTAACCTTTCGGTTGACGAGTTGCAAAGTACGCAAAACGACCACTTTGAAAACCACCGACGTATTCGATCCTGCAAATACGCTTGTAAATCAATTCACTACCTCATAAAACTGGAATTAATTACTGAATTTTGCCGGCATGAATTTTGCTTTGTTTCGTTTAATCTCATAGTGATCGATGAAATCAAATTGAATGTTGTGTCCCATTTCACTGCATAATGAAGTGCGCGCATTTTTCACATAACGTCTCGAAATCTCGAAATATTGGCACACGAAAACTAACTTATACTGTCCCCTGAACTGTCGTTCCATTTTAATTTCAGTGCCTGTTCCAACGCCCTGCACACTCACATCGAACAGAGTTTCTTGTGCGAGCGATAGTGATGCAACTGCCGGAACATCGTCCCAATAACTTCCGTTATGTGCATACGTTGAGGCCACATAGAGTACATCCTCTGCAATCACCAACGTTACCGTAATCCACATCGAATTCAATATCGAGATACTGATCATATGATTATGATTGATTTCTATTGTTATTTCCAAATATGCAACACTTCAATTCACTCACTCGGTATTCCATCGTCATTCGGTGGTCCAGCACCTACGAAAATAACCGTCGACGAGAAACGATCATTCGCAACAACATTTCTTTGCGATTCCCTTATTACATCCTTCTGATCGATATTATAAAGGTTCCTCCAACGACAACGACCCTTCAAAATTCAACTGATTAACTTACGATCATAATAGCAATAAACAAAATCCATTCTATAATGCAATTACTTCACATAATATCAGTCAAAATAAATCTGACAGAGCGATTCCATAGCAAATTTGATCAATCAGTAATGAATAAAATAAGCACAACGACAGTAAAGATGATAATAGTAATTCTCTCACGGTCACAACAATATCCCTCAAGAAGTATTTGTACGTCAAGAAATGAATATTCAAACAAACAAATCAAAGTGCTTGAGTAATATTGACATAAGTGATACACATCAATCAACCTTTTACGATCGCATCTCATCAATATTAATTCAACACTAAACGTTCGATCATCAAATGTCGCATCTTCTTTTTTATTCACGCATATCGCTTTCGATATCGATACCCATCCATCTACCACTTATCTATTGTCTCATATCTCATACAAAAAACAAGCCGAACGATCATAACAGCCGCCGAGCAATTGAACTTCACTGATCGTGAGTCAAGCCTTATCCAATTATTCATGCATTACGCTCGAGCGATCTCACAAGGTCACACACTCTACCATTCCAACTAAACTGCATCTTAAGCCTAATTCTGAGTTTCAGTTCAGGCTTCAACTCGATCTCCGGATCTCTCACCGATCAAACTATCGATTGCATCGATCACGCATGCAAGCGATTAATCGACTTAATCACGAATTAATCGAATGCAATAAAAAATAACCTGAAATAAACTGGAACATTCGATTAGCTTTGAGCCTTTCTCATATACGGCCAAGCCTTTCGTATAGGAATTATGCGGTGTTTTACGATTACATGATTCTCGATCTGAAAATTACATTAATTCACAACAATATCCCTTAAGAAGTATTTGTAAGTCAAGAAATGCATGCATCTTTTACATTATCTGCTGATCATTACCACATTGTTCATTAATATTATGCAATATCAATCTGATAGTGTAATACAATAAATTATCGATGTTTACTCCATTACAATGTGTATTCCTTCCATTCTTGTAATTACTCACATGCGAATAAATAATCAACTAAAACTAGGGTCTCTACACTAAGTCCGTTCCATAAATCAATCGATCAACGATTTTGAATTCTAAATTAACTCAATGATCCATATCAAGGTCGATAATACTATAATTATACGAGATTTGGGGGATACATCATAATTCATATCCGAAATATCATAAATACTGAATTTAGGACTAATCATCTATTGAACTATAGAACTGTCTAAAAGTGCACATACGATACTACATGCACTCATCAATTTTAACATATATTCGTCTTCATTGTTCTTATTATATTAGCTATATTATTGAATTATTATATCATCTAAGCAATGTTATTGTTGTCATCATTTTATCATGAGTGTCACAATTGTTAACTTAGCCATTGCTTCAAAGAGTGCTCCTCAATCTTTTCATAATGCTTTCAATCTGTTTAAATCCTTTTGTTGAACGGATAAAATAACGATAACACACAGCATTAATATTATATCTCGCATTGTTGGGCATACAGACGGACGGGACGGGACGGATGGATGAATAGTGCGGTGCTATTCTTCTCAATGTGTACGTTTGTCATACAGCAGCAGCCACAGCTCTGAATGACGACNNCAGCAGCCGTAAATATTATAACGCAATAACTCATTTATGCAATACACATTTCCATGTATATAAGGCTTATCACGTTCGCCATCAACATTCATTGTTCCCTTCTCATGGTTTATGGTTTTTGATGATGAGGTTGGTTCGTGGTGGCCGTACTATCTGCGAATGAGAGTCAATAACATAAAATTTGATGAGATAAACGGAAGGAAACAAGTTTTGATGCATACTTGATTGATTCTTCAATAGTAACAACAACATTGATGGCAACAGTAATTCCGCATATATATATGCGCCTGTTTATGAGTGCACAATTTGTTCGCCCGATTCGGGAGCGGGGGATGCGATTCGAGAGTGAAATGGAATTAAGAATAGAAATGGAATTTCAAAAAATTCAATCATCCGGAATTGCTAACGAGTAGCAGCAGAATTGAAATGCTTGCTTGCTTGCTTGCAGTCACGCTAACGTATCCATTTTCGTTGAAATGTGATTATTGCTTTGCTTAGAAGATAATCCATTTTTGTTTCGTATCATTCAGAGAAATGAATTCGTTTCCTCCTCAACCAAATACAAAATTCCGTCGTTGAATTTCGAGAATAAAGAAGTTTTATGTGTATCGCAAAACGAATAATGCGTATCGCAAAATCGCTCGTAAAATGCTTGCTGCCCTTTTTGCATACACGAAAACCAACAATTTATTACTTCAACAAGCGATTTTGTGCCAGTAACATTCATTCTGGCAGTAAAAGTGAAAAAACTTCAGCCAACTAAATGTTTATTACGGATTGCAGATGGAATTTTTTTTGTTGTTCAAATCTGAGCGCAGTCGATATCGGTCGGTGACTTATGCGAAATATTCTCTCAGATAATATTCGTATTTTAATACGCAAACTATAATGCATGAATGGAATAATCAAGTTTCAACAACAATAATATAAAATTTACTGCTCATGCGCATGCAAATGATTGCGGATCAAGTAATTTAATACGAAAATAATCAGTCTTTTATGGTTACAATCGCCCACTTTGCAAAATCACACCACTACTCAAAATATTCAGCAGCACTGTCTTTGAATTGTTTTATGATTCATCTGGCCTACTTCTAGTTTTGATTACTCGAACATATCTATTGTATGGCAATAAACNTCTCTGTGTCAGGCAGTGTCTTCAAGACAGATGACGATGATATGAGGGGTTGAGATGCCGGCATTTGAACGAAATCAAAAAAAAAAAAGAAAACTCACTTAAACATTCTAAAGAGTCCTCTTCGGGACCGGTAACCGCATGTGCTTTGACACTAAGACTAGATGCATGAAGATCGTATAAATTGTTCACACCGCCAACGTACAAACGGCCAGTTGAAGGGTCGATCACCTTAATTCACATTGCTTTCTTCATATATTCAAGAATTGCAAGCATAATCAATGAAGACTGTTTGATGAAAGCTATGACAATGGAAATTTTATGGTATGACTGAAAGTAACGCATGAATTATCACATTATTAATTTGTTGCTTCTTCCGAGAGAAAATTGTTTAAGTTTTTGCAAATTAGAAACCGATTTTTATGCTGTGATGAAATTTTAGAGTGTGATGGCATTATCGCTCGCGATATTCACAAAATATTTTGATATGATATGAGAACATTCGAATGTTTCATGATCACATTTCATAAGTAAACACTGATGTACATTCCACTCTTAGGCATGTAAATCAAATCTAATGATAGCATTTGTTAGGCAGATCATATGACGTTCCATTGTTTGTCATGATGATTGCATATCAAACCACATGCTCTGAGTCATTGCGTAGATCAGCTCATGCTCTGGTGTTCTCCAATTAGATCACCTATCATTTCAGTACTCCACGAATAGATCAAACGCAAATTTTTGTTCTAATTCAAAAACTGACTCTATAGACTGATTATTCTCGCTATTCAGCACATGAGCCACTCGGGTGCAGTTGAAGCGATTAAGAAACAGAATTCTAATTGCAACCAGAATGGAACACTTTATGGATTATACGCATGTGATTTGAAGATTCTAGAACCGAGCACTTCANAAAACATAACAAACGCACCATTTTTTCGAACGGTACATCGTCGTTGATATTGTTCGGATTTACAAATTCGGCGGCAATATCGTCCGTGTGTAACCTGGCTTCGGCTGTGCTGCTCATCCAAATTAAAACGATGAGCATCCAATAAAATATTGTTTGGTGCTGCTTCATTGGCACTTTTATTGAGTCGCTTTCGCGATTCAATAAGCAATTTAAAGTTGATTTTTTGTCTTGCTGATTCATTTTCTGAATCGAAATCAGATTCTTGTTGTGTCGCTGAAGACGCATGCGCAGATGCGTCTTCCTCTGAGGAGTTGGGCTCGATGAGCTTGAGATGATGGCTTGAATATTTGGCATCACCAATGAGAATTCGATCGCAAAACTTCATTGCATATCCTCTCTCAAAATGGAGAGTGCCTTCAAATGATTCATAAAATACAATATGACTTCGACTTTTACGAAACGATATATATTGATTGCAGTGTAGTTGGTTGACTATTCGTTATCGGGATTTGATTCGAATTGAACTGTAGATAGGTGTGTTCAGTGCATTGGAATGATTACTGGACAAGAATTATTTAGGAATGATCGTTGATGTGTCGATGGGCTTTCGATTGTTGACAGTGATGATGACGATGAGACGTCTTCAAATCGTTTTGATTCTCTGAGAAATACTGAAATTTATGTTCGTTTATGACATTTGTATGTGAATGTGTATTTCGATGTTAACACATCAACTGCTTGCGTACAGTGAACATCAACAAGACATTCGCGATCGTGATGGATTGACAGATCTAATCACTATTTATTTTTATCTGAGAATCTAGAAATTTCACTGCTCTTCATCTGAGAATCGAATATTCCGGGCCATTAGTTTGGTTATCAACGAAAAAAA